TTGGATCCGGTAATGTGGGGATGGACCGCTTTATATCTTCACTCTTGTATCAAAAAACACTCCCTTGTCTTCCACGTCATCAGCGCTACCTAATCTTAAAGTTCTACTTATATCTGCGTGTGTATATTGGTTAGTGACAATTATTTTTATCTGTGCAATGAGCCAACCTTAATTTCGATATTATCAAGTGGGCTCACCTCGGTAACTTATTGAAGTCAACTTTGATGACTTTCATTGGTACCACAAGATCGTCTTCTTGTCGATTTCTATGTGTGTTGTTCAATAGATATTCTTATCATTTTTTGCTGAATCCCTAATCCCTCTAAGTCTGTCAAAACAGTAAGCGAGATTCTCTTTGACTCTTTGAAAAAGGATTAAAAGAGACTTACTAATCTCACATTTCCTTATGCTTTTCTAACATAAAGCCAGTCCTTCTGATGCATGTCAGTCAATCATACAGTCGGTCGTGGCAACGTATCCGACCATCTCTGATGTTTCTGTATCCAGTGTCCTTCCAGTCTGTATTTTTGTTTAGTTCTCCAGAGCACCCTGTTTTTTAGCTTTCATTTTGCGTGAAAAAGCATGTAAAGAGCAAAACCTTCTCCATCAGGTTCATATAAATAATCCATTCCATCAGCAGCGTCCGCAAATACCAAGTCACCTCGAATAAGGGTAGACATATCAACCGCTTTTTTTATCTTTTGTGTTCCTTTCATGATCCTTACTTTGCCATCTACTAATAATCGCTGTATTATTTTTTAAATATCCGTTTCCAAGACATCCTAATCAGTTTGCCTATTTCATTCACCCCAGAAACCAATATCCGTTATACTGCTGCCGCATGGCTTTAGCACAACGTTCACGAGATACCCCCTCGTTTCGGGTGAAAATGGACTGAGTCTACGTCCATCATCTCATGAGCATCATCAGGGCTGGAACTCATTCTTGTAAGTGTTAAGTTAACACTAGGGGAATAAGACTATCCGGCTCTATCTCAACTCTTATATAAACTCGAATAAGCAAAGGATTAAAAATGGAGAAAGATATAGAATGGGTTGGCTAATTATCTGTCATACTAGTACTGCTACTTTTGCTCGTGTGTGTGTGTTAACGTCTATACGCAATACCGGTCCTAAATCAAAGTCATCAAAAGGTTAATGTCAGGCTCTGGTCATCAAAGCCTAATAACACAAGAAAAAGCCATGAGACTGCGTAAGTTCGTAAGTAAGTATGGCTGAGATAGAGATGTAAGCATGTAAGTCAAGCTACTTGTCCTAACCTCTCAGTCAAAGGTCATTAACGTTTAATCCCCAATCTACTAATTTCAATACTCTCTTACCTTCCTTTTAACAGCAGACGTACCATATTCAGCAAACCTACTAGGGTGAGACCATCCTATCTCATATCCAGTTTTTGACATGTGTTTGACCACTTCTGACCGTTGGACCCAGCTTCCTTTACAACTACTTTTGTGTTCCCTCAATCTTTGTCGAATAGGTCGTCATGTTCACTAACATAACATCGACCACAGGAGCAAACAATCGTGTACTGGCCACATCTCGATAATCGGTCATATTCCTCTCTAAAAAATGGCATAACAGAAGAAAGTGAGGGTTTCTTTAAACACCGTTTTCATCCCCCACTTTATAACTAATTCGCCTAACTATTTTAAAAGAAGGCATTACAGAAAAATCAGGACACGAGAAAAGGTCTCAACTTGTCTGCCTTTTACTAAATGTAAAATGTATTCTTCAGTAAGGAGATATTATTCTCAATAAGGCCCAAAGGATAATTTTTTTAGGTAATACATTTATCAGCCGTTCCGAATCTTTAGTCAAATGATTAATATCATCTAGCTCCATACTCCTAATAATCAACGATTTCAAAATTCCAACTTTAGTTTTGTAACTATCGTTGGAAAAATAAATAAGCAATCAGCATATGTTGGCTTCCTACAGGCATCTCTTCCTAAACTACCTTCTATAATGATGAGAACATCCAGAAATGGCAAGGACTTATTCCCTTATATTTCTATTGTGAACCTAAAGTTCCTTTCACGTTGGTTAAGTGAAAATACGAAAGTATCACCACCTCACCATGAGGCCAATGACAAAATAGTCATGCATGTACCTAACCGACAATTTGGGGGTTAGTATTGCCTCTTCCAGGAATTGTTCCTCCAGTCGTCATATAATCGTTCGCACAGATGAGAGCCAGGCAAGATCCCATCTCAAGTCATTGTCTTAGTTCGTATAATTTACCATTAAAGGTAAAAATAATGCTACTTATGGATAGGTTAAGAAGTATAATAATGGAAGCTACACTCAGCCTTATTCCTTGTGTTATTAGCCTATCCTGTTTTGAAGTTATTTTCTGATCAAAAGATTTTACAAACTCGTGCCAAAAAATAAGCAGTTTACCTTAGCTGAATGCACAAAAAAGTGAGATTTTATGCATCACGCTTCCTTTAGTATTTACAACTAATCGTAGAGGGACACTCTCTTTCTGAACCTTATGGAGACCGTAAGCCAGAGACTCTTACATCTCTCTGGAAGAGTGAATCCATTTTCCACTTCTCCATTTTACCATCACTTACGCATGCCTAAATAGCATTCTTTAGCCTAGTTTTAAGTCTTTCTGATGGATCTCTTGATAAAGGCCTATACCTGTCTGTGTCACTTAAATGAACTAACATTTTTTCTACATAACTTGTCCTGCCCATGACTACTACAGCTCCACCTTTGTCGGCTTTCATAAAGATTATATTACTACATAGATATGTAAAGAACCCTACTAAGAGGACAAGCTTTCTTTTGTGGAATTATATGGTCTAAATGAAGGATCACTTCTAGTTCAATACTATTCCTTACCTCCTTGGAGAGAGCCTGACATTTGCCTTTTGATCAATATTTTATGATCGGTATTGCTTAGACGATAACACACACTTGATCAAAAGCACAGTACCAATATGAAAGATAATTCTCTATCTATCTATATTTTTAATCGTTTGCTTATTTGAGTTTATATAAGAGGTGAGATAGAGCAGGATAGTCATCTTGCCCTAGTGTTAACTTAAGACTTTTATAAGAATGAGTTCCAGCACTGATGATGTTCATCAGATGATGGAATTAGGCTTAGCCTATTTTCACCTAAAACGAGGGGATCTCGTATAAAAGCCAAACGACTGCAGTACGGCGGGATTCAGCTGTCCTCTTCTGGTGAGATCGACCTACGAATCTCTTTTTCATGTACTTTTATACGGAACGAAAGGCTCATCAACAATATTGTCTCAGAATATTCATCGAAGCCCAATTACCATTAGTATCTGCAATATCTGTTAGTCATACTTGCTAGAATTCTAATCTTAAGTCTGTATGATGAGTGGAAATTCAGGATTATGACTGCATGCGATCGCTTTCTTACACTCTTTTCTTAATAGAAGTTGCTTGAACTAGCCATCTAACTTGGTCATGTTGGTAAGAACGCACCTAGTCTGGAGCCCATTGTATGCATGATAATTTCCAGTCGGACCGTGGACGTGGTACACTTGAAGACGTTTCGCCGGCATCGTCAACGAGCCTTGCCATTCTTAGCACCATACTACAACTAGTCAAAGTCAAGCCGATCCCTTTACCAAATGTGTGCCAAGCCGTTGTGGTATCTCTGCTTCTGCCCTGGGTTATTCACCTCTCCTATATTCTCGTATAACGCCTTAACTGTCACTATTTCCCATGTTTATTTAGATGTGGTGTGGTATGCCCTTTTGAGTGGCTTTCGTGAGAACCCTCCACGCTGAGGTCCCTACCCCCATTTACTCTTGTGCTGGGAATCTTGATCAGTCTGCCATATTGTTACGCAGTCCTCCTTCCCTAGGTATTATCAGTCTCCCTCTTGCCCCGTAGGATCCGTCTACCATCTTCCTGTTTCAAGTATTTCACTCGACCCCTGCCACCCCATCTGTTCTAGTCGAGGTGTTATTCGCCCTCCCCTGCGTCTGGATAACCAATTCGAGGCTAACGCCTCTAAGTAAGTCTCATGGTCACGCCTTTGCCACGCGGACCACGTCTATGGCAAAACCTACTGTCAGCCAACTAGCTCCAGTCTCCGCCGCGTCTATCCGTAATACCAAATCTATGAATTGCTATGCCCTAGTCTCTTGTGTGCCAACCCACAAACGTTTAACATTGAACATAATCAGTGTATCTTCCACATACCATATGCAGTCGGTTTACAAAAGAATGAAAGGGTATGGAGAGCATACTGATTACCAAAAAAAACAATGAGTAATAAGAGGTCAAACGTATATGAAAATTCGATGAACATTAAGGTCCTTAGGGATCTTACCCCACTTGCCTTTGCAAAAAAACGACCAGGTAGTGAAAGAATCTGACCGTCTTAGCCATCTAAGACTCCTTAAACACCACGCGCAGTTAGCTGTACGGTTACCAAGATGGAAGCTACTTTGTTAAATAACTAGAAGACAGCATCTAAACTACTGGAAGAAGCGTAGTATTGTCCTATTAGAGGGCAGAACATTGCAGATAAGCAAAAGTTGCCGTATCAAAATCCATCTATCAATGCTTAGATAAATAAGTATTGCAACAATAATTGCGTTTAATTTTTCTATTTACAGAATCAGCAACTCCAACGTACGGTAGAAAAAGAGTGCACCGAGAGAGAATCGCTTACAACGGCACTCGAAAAGGCGCGAAGTCAACTGCTGGCCCTTGCCCCTTTGGAGAAACTAAATGCTAAAAGAAACTAGAGACAATGAGAAAAGAAATCGGAGTGCACCATGGAGTGCAGAAATTGTGATATTATCAAACCTCACTCGAAGATAAATAAAACTACGAAATAATTTTGCGACTCCTAGATTATTTTAAGGATAATTATTATAATTAGAACAAGTGGGAAAACTCACAAGCTAATCATGATGGCAATAGAATGCTGTGATACCGATAGGATAAAAGAAATTTTCCGATACAAATTTATTGAAAAAATCACTCTTTTTCTGCTTTGGTCGAAACAACACGAGTACCACGGACTCTACCAGTTCTTCTAGCAGCAATAAGACCAACTTTACGCCCGTGTGGCGCATCTCGGCGAATGGTAGATGGTTTGCCAATGTGTTGATGATTACCACCTCCATGGGGATGTTCAACTGGCTATAATAGTCAATGGAGATCGAGGTATAATATTCGGACAATAAAATGCAAACTATAGTATAAGACAGCACTCACATTCATCGCAACTCCACGAACTTTGGGCCAGCAATTTCGTTTGGCCTTATACTTATGATAAGCCCTACCAGCCTTGAGGATCGGCTTGTCAATGCGTCCGCCACCAGCAACCAATCCGATCATCGCCCTACAAGCAGAAGGAAGGACTTTCTTTGTCCCGGATGGCAGCTTTACCCGAGTGCGCTTAGTTTCAGGATTGTGAGCGACAACTGTGGCATAATTGCCGC